CATTGTTTTAGGGGTTTTGTTGATTTTGATTTATTTATTTATCCATTTTATTTTTCAGGCCGTCGACGCCGACGTGCACGTCATCGGCGCCTCGTCACTTGCCGCCGGCCACTTGACGCTCGTGCCGCAGCTGGTCGACGAGCTGAAGAAGCTCGGCAGGGAGTACGTTTTAGTTTTATTTTATTTTTGAAATAGATTTCTTAATTTTAACCCTATTTTTCAGGGACATCCTCGTTGTCGCCGGCGGCGTCATCCGCCCCAAGATTACGACGCGCTGCACAAGGCCGGCGTGGCGCTGATCTTTGGCCCGGGCACGCGGCTCCCCGTTTGCGCCAATAATGTGAGTTTCGACCTCTAATTTTTAATTTTAACGCTATTTCAAAAAAAGGTGGCTGGCTACTTGGTTAGGGTTTAAAATACGGAGCGGACGGCCCGGGTTCGATCCCGTCAGCTGCAGAACGTTTTGTCTTTCGAATGGCTTTTTTGAGGTTATTTTCGACTTGCGCCAATAAATCGGGATTTTGTTTTGAGCAGCGGATTTTGCGCAACAATGCTGACCGTTTCCCTAAAATCTGATTTTGCTTTTTGATTAAAGCTGAAATGCTGACTAAAAGCACCTTATTTCTATCGAAAAAACGGCTTCAAAACTGTAACAACCGGTTTCAAAGTCTTTCGCCAACGAGCCGGGTTCGATCCCGGCGGGTGCATCGCTTTTTGCTTTTTGTTTTGTATTATTTTCTATGTTCCATTTTCCAGATCCTCGAGAAGCTCGAAGCGAAGCTGGCCGCATCAAGCCGAGCCTAGAAAGCCTGAGCCTGATTTTGTAAATTGCCTCTTCTCGTTGTCAATAGGTGTAGTGCGTCGTCGTTATTCGTGTCTTGTACTTTTTCTTGGTTTTCGGGTAATCCCTGTGCTATTTATCCCCCTACTACCCCGCATCGATTTTGATCCGCCCCTCTATTAGTGCAGAGAGTGAGCTTTCCTTCCTCGGAATAAATTTTTGACAATTTTATGTCTTAAAATTTTATCGATTTGGTTCATATGTTTCGAAATTTTTGCAGACCTAGACGTGTTCCTTGATCTTATTAATTGGTTTTGATCGTTGAAAAATTAATAGAAATCTTTATTCGTTTTAATCATTGTTTAGAAATCTATAGCAAGCAAGCGGGTTGCAATTTGGGAAGACGATTTCAGCGCGAAATCTGTATTGTTTTGTTTGCTTTTTCTTTCGGTTTCAAAAGAAAAAGTAGTAGACGAAGAAGAGGAGGCCGAAGACGAGCACCCAATTGTTGAAGATCTCTTCTAGAAGCGATTTCTTGCGCAGCGGCCGTCCGGCGGTGATACCCTGGAATTAGGAGGATTTTTAGCGGGAAATTGTCTCTGCTAGCCTGCCCTGGGGCCACGATTCCTCAAATTGTCTCTGCTAGCCTGCCCCGGGGCCACAATTCCTCAAATAGTCTCTGCTAGCCTGCCCCGGGGCCACAATTCCTCAAATTCTCTGCTAGCCTACCCGGGCCCGGAATTCCTCAAATTGTCTCTGCTAGCCTGCCCTGGGGCCACAATTCCTCAATTTGTCTCTGCTAGCCTACCCGGGCCCGGAATTCCTCAAATTGTCTCGGCTAGCCTGCCCTGGGGCCACAATTCCTCAATTTGTCTCTGCTAGCCTACCCGGGCCCGGAATTCCTCAAATTGTCTCTGCTAGCCTGCCCTGGGGCCACAATTCCTCAATTTGTCTCTGCTAGCCTACCCGGGCCCGGAATTCCTCAAATTGTCTCTGCTAGCCTGCCCTGGGGCCACAATTCCTCAAATATTCTGCTAGCCTACCCGGGCCCGGAATTCCTCAAATTATCTATGATAGCCTGCCCCGAGGATTTGGATACTCTATTACCTGGTCAACACGATGGCGGAGCGTCCAAAATGGCCTGGCGGGCCCCGGGCCAGGGTAGGGCCCGGAAAGTCGATAGACATACGCGACGTTAGGCCCGAAAAACACCTGAAAATCGAATGATGTAGGTTTTGAGATGTCACGATTCCTTTATTAAAGACTTCGGATTCAAAGCTTGGCTTAGGCCTAGCTTTGGCTTAGTCTTAGGCAGGCTTAGGCTTGAGACGACCCTCCTTGAAAAGCCCTCGGATCACGTGGTGGCGAAATCCCAGGGTTTCGGCTGGCGGTCCGATCAGCTCGGCCTGACACTCCATATACGGTACGAAGTCCACCTAATAACGGATAGTGTTTTTAATCTAATGGAGAATAAGAGAATATTTTAGCATCAAAATCTAAAGCACTTATTTTTAAATAGTTCAATATTTCAATTGGTCGAAAAATCGAACGCTACGCTATGCTACAGTACCCACCTGTAGCGTATGCCTAGGGCTGTTCACGTAGCGCTTGGCCATTGCCGCTTTTGCATCACCGCGTCCTGCTCGAGGAGTTCCTGATAATATTAAAAACATTGATACATCATAGTAAGTAAAAGTAGGTAAAAGAAATTAATATTTTTATTTTCCGCTCCGCCTCTTCCGGGGTACCCCATTGACTCCACAAAACTTCAAGCAAAATTCATTTTTTTTCGAAACATCAAAATTTTAACAAAACAGTTGGAAAGTTCTTTTAGTCTTTTTAACCCTTTAAAATTAGGAATTACCAGATTACCATACCCTTGATGGGAGCTTGACATCACCGCGGAGCTGGGCGAAAAATACGCGCGCCTGCATTTCGGAAAGTGGCATAATGCTGCCCCACGGCTGAAAAAGAGCGTTGAGTTACCTGGCCCTTTAAACAAGAATCTCTGCTAGCCTGCCCTCTCTTCTTCCTCAAAAATCTTTTCTAGCCTGCCCTCTCCTCTTCCTCAACAATCTCTGCTAGCCTGCCCTCTCCTCTTCCTCAACAATCTCTGCTAGCCTGCCCTCTCCTCTTCCTCAACAATCTCTGCTAGCCTGCCCTCTCCTCTTCCTCAACAATCTCTGCTAGCCTGCCCTCTCCTCTTCCTCAACAATCTCTGCTAGCTTTACAAATTTTCGAAAACACCATTTTACCTGGCACGAGCCGATTAAGCACTGGGGTATTTTTGTCGGCCGTCTGTAGCGGGAACATCAGCTTGTAGATTCCTTCATGATTGTTGTCTGGAAATGATTATGCTTGTTAAAATCTTAGAAAAACTTCTAAGGTTATTAAAGACTGGTGACTTTTGAAAATTGTTATTGAACATCCTATAGAATAGAATCTATAGAATCTCAATTTTTTCCGACTTGTTTAAAATTTCAGGAAATTCAATGGTGACTTACTATCAATCGGAACCAAATTCCCTTTTCTAGCAACGGGAATCGGAACAGAGTAGCCGGTGCAGCAAATTACCTAAAATGGCTGAAATATTTAAAGAGCCAAGTGGCTAAAAACAAAGGCAATGGCTGAATTGGAAACGTGCCTAAACTACTAAACTTATTCGGGACTACTGGTAAAATGTTTCAAAAAAATTATGCTTTCAATGCGCGGAATGGATTTCAGTGAACAAATAAGTAAACAAATGGAGTGAATGGCGAATTACCTCCTGCTTGTTAAATTAATATACGTATCTTATGGAACAGGCCCATACCCAAAACAAATTTTTTTTACAAGAAAGTATAGCTATTTTATCGAAATCTCTTAATTACTGCTTAGACTGGGGATTAAAAAAATTTGTTTTGGAAATTTTGTTCAAAGATGTGCAGACAAATGCTCCGTTCTGCGAAGGCGACTTGCTTATACTACCGGTAAAATCAAAGTCCTGAAAAATTTGTCGGATGGGATCAGCCAAAGACTTTTAGTTTGGACCAAGGCGCACGGTTTGGATAAACATTTCATTCAAACTCAGTTTTAAGCATATTTTATAATTCGCTTCGAATAAATAGCGAAACACCTTCATTTTAAAATACATTAGACTTAGCAAAAGACTTTGAGCTCAGGAACTTGCGCTCGAGACCTTCTCAAATAGCCTCTTTTTACATGGTGCAGAAACAACATGGAAAAACAGGGTGCTGCGCCAGAAATTTCTTAGTCAAAGGTTTCACACCTGAAATTTTGGATGGTTTTTTAGTTTGGTAGTTTGGTCCCGAAATCCCGAAACGCCCCGGCTCCCGGACCGATCGGGCCGATCACAGGGTCCCGCAGCGATCCGGTCGGTCCGACCGGGCGGGCGGGCGGGCGGACAGGCGCACAGACATTAGAAATTTATATATATGCTCTGATGCCTTAACTGTTCCGGACATCACACGGTTCGGCAGCTCATCGGATAGGGTTGGGTGTGCTTTGAAATTATCCTATAATTCGTGACTTTTTACGTCTCGAAAAAAGGCTCTAATAGCAACCAGTAATATTTTCATAGCGGTGAAAATTTTTGGGATAATTTTACCGGTAGTTGCCTCTAATATTCACCTAACGTTTTTAATATATATTTTGGTAATTAACAATGGTGAGATCAGATGCTAAATATAATATTTTTTTTATCATTTCAATTAAAAAAGTGGTAGATAGGTAATGAACAAAAAAATTTAGGTTTTTCTACAAACTATATCTGCAAAAACAGGTTTCAAGAAAAATTTTTGTTCTCTGTTCTTTTCCTGGTGCTAAGAATTTTCGAGAAATTGATTTAAAGCAATTTCAGATGGTAAGAAAGAAAATATTAGCTAATACAAAAATTCGATACTGAACTATTAGCGGGGGCGTAATTTTTTAAAACTGAAGTTACCCAAATACCTGTTTTTTAATAATATGGAGTGTATTTTGTTGGTGCTTTAATCATTCCCGATTTCCAGCAGGTCATAAAGATATTGTTTTTATATTTTTAAGACTATGGCCTTTTTGGTGATTTTGAAAATATGTTTCATCAAATCCAGCAATTTTTCATATTTTGGAAGTCTTTAATTGTTTTTCCCCTCGACTGGTATTTAAAAAGTTGACTTTCCGATAAACTCAAAGATTCATATAATGTCTCCAGTTTAATAAAGCCTTAGTGTTTTTTTAAGTTAAAAACCTGAAAATCGGATGTTTCGGCATGAGCCCGAATTTCTCGTGATCAAAGCGGCTGTCAACGTCGTGCTCGACCATCTTTTCCAGGATTCGCATCGGGACCACCTTCAGGAATTTCAGCGCGATGAAGCTGGAAAATTACGGTATAAACGGGAGTATAAGGCACTAGATAATAAATAAAACCAAATTTAAAGGTGGAAACCCTGACGAGTGCCTGCATTAATTTTAATTGAGCTAGTTTTACTGGAGAGTTTTTGAAACATCAGAAACATCAGAAAAAATAGCACAATAATGGCTAAGCGGAATCTTGACGCAATGGAAAACGGTAGAACTGATAGTATTAAATGCACCAAAATAACCTAAAATTTGTAGAAGAAGTTGGTGCGTGTCATTGGGCGTTCACCGAATTGCTTTTCTTGAAAAATTTTTGAAACATTCTTCAGAAAATATGGAAAAATGAGAATTACCGATGTGAAGCTGAGCGGCCTTTTTGATAAAGAAGAAACGATAGAAATAATAATATTAAGTGCACTAAATGAAAAAAATTTTTTAAGATGAATTTTTTCCGTCAGGTCAAAATCATTAGGCGTTCGCTGCGCCATTTTGATTGGAAAATGTTTGGAAACATTCTTCGGAAAATAAGGAAAATATAAAGCCGACGATGGAACCGAATTTTGAAGAATCAGACGAAGATGATTACTGTAGAATCGAAGAGACTAGCGCATTAAAATAGTATAAATTTTACAACACGGATTTAGGGACACCTGAGATCGATGATTAAAGCCAAACAAAAATATTTTTAGTCAAAAATTTTTGAAACATTTTTACAGAAAATACCGTAAAATTCGCTCACCGATTATTGAGCTCCATGTCGAAGCACTTGTCATTTCCCTTCATCCGGCTGAAAATCCAGGCGCCTCGTCGACTGACCAGATACGTCTGAAAAATCAAGGTTTTTCTTTTCTAAACTGAATTTTTAAACTCAATTTTAAATCGGCTTTGTTGGAAAAATAATCATAATTTTATTGCAATGCAATAAAAATTTATTAAACTTTAAAGGTATAGAAAGTAAGAAACCCAAAATATTTTTCACAGCGAAAAGTTTCAGCCGGCAAAAATGGCAAAAGTGCCCTTCTGTTTTTAATGCGAAAGAAAAATTCTGCGGTCCAGGTCCGTATTTAATTTCAAATTAATTTAATTTAATTTGTATAATGTTTTCAATTTTGAGTGTTTGTTGTGTTATAATTTAATTGTCTCATATTATGTTGAAGCTAACTTGATAGCCGGATTAATTAATTTAGACCTGTTTCGCCACCCTGCCCAGCTCGCAGGCGACGTCGACGCCCGAGTTGCCGACGCCAATTACGACGGCCGTTTTGTCTCCGTAGCCTAAGTTAAATTTAATTAAAGATAAAGATAGAAAGATGGGAGAGAGAGAGAGAGAGAGAGAGAAGGAGAAAGAAAAGAGAGAAGGAGAGTGAATTTGAAAACATTACCATCCGGGCTTTTGTAGTCGTGGCTGTGCAAGATTTTGCCCGGGAACGTCTCCATCCCTTCCCACCTAAAATTAGAATAGTTTCAAAATTCAGAGTTAAATATCCTTTAAAGTCTAAAATTATTGATTTCGAAATTTTATTATGAGGTGTCCGAAGTCGATAGTTATTGAAATTGCCTTTCCCAGACATACTCCATATCGGTAAATTGGCGAAACATTTTTTTGGAAAACGAAATTTTTAAGTTTTGCGATAATGCCTACTTCGGCATGTTGTTATCAGCATGATGGCCGGTGCATAGCAATACTCCATCGAATATCTCTTCGTGCTGAGCTTCGAATCTGAATTTGAGTATTTTTAGCGTGCTCCCTTCCCTCTTTCACTCTCCCCCCCCCCTCTCTCTCTCTCTCTCTCTCTCTCTCTCTCTCTCTCTCTCTCTCTCTCTCTCTCTCTCTCTCTCTCTCTCTCTCTCTCTCTCCTCTCTCTCTCTCTCTCTCTCTCCTCCCCTCTCTCTCTCTCTCTCTCTCTCCTCTCTCTCTCTCGCTCTCTCTCTCTCCACGTCTGAATAACGAAATAACATACTGATTTTCGTACGTAACCTTCCATTGTCCAGTCTTGCTATAATCCGCGGTACGCTCTATGTTGAGCACCTTAAAATTAATGCCATATAGTTTTATCCACGAATTCCTCAAGATCTCGGCTAGCCTGCCTTAAAAATTCGCCCAAAAAAACTAAAATTTAATTTTTCTACGTTTCAGGAAAAAATTAGATTTTTTGCGTTTCTAATTTTTTAAAAAGTAACTGATTTAATGATATTGATCTATCAATACCGAATTAAAACTTAAACCTTAAATGTTAATCATAAATTCTAGAATTAGGAAATTTGATACCTTGTGCTTCAGCTTGATGTGGGGGTTCAGGTGGAAATCGCGGGCGTAGTCGCGGAAGTACTGCATTAGCTTCGAGTTGTGCATGTAGTTGGGGATGTCCTGGAAATAATCTGTTTTAAGAAAAACCATATTTCTAATTTATAGCGCTTAAAAACAACCAAAAAAAATCATTGATCTAAATAAAAACAAAACTACTAAAACCTGGTTATCGCAAAAAAATGTGTTTCGTATAATCTTAAAAAGCAAAAAATAAAAATTTTGGTAATCGGTATGTGGTTCCGCGATGCCAATTTTCGCCCCATTACACCTTTAAAATTTTTTCTTAGCTCTCAATTTTCTAAAAATTCAACCGCGCAGCGGCGCGCAACGCGCACGCGCCTGGCCGCTTCAAGGTTCCGTAATCGATTACGCAATTGCGTCCGACGGCAAAAATCAGAAATTAGATATTAAACACTTTACAATTTCATTTAAAGTTTTAAAATACTAATTTATTTAAAAATTATTAATGCATCCATAACCAGCAAAAGCCATAGGTATCCCTTGTGCGTCCCTTTAAAACCCACCGCCGCGGGGGGATAATCCGAGTAGGCGGTCATCTCCTTGCTCGTGTTGATGACGGTGCCCTTCATCACCGAGGATTCTGGAAAATATATATAGAATTAAATGGAATGTATTAGGATATAAGCTAACTTAATTAGCCAGATCCTTGTGGAAAATCGATTGATTCTTCATCGCGAAATTTGAAAGTTTTGTTTCATCGAAAAATGACGATTGCGGCATGAAGTAGTATTTAATCCGCATTCTGGTTAGCGACTACTTATCTTAGCTTACTAGGCTTAGGCTTGGCTTAAGCTTGGCTTAGCTTAGGCTTGACTTAAGCGTGGCGTAGGCTTTGCTTTGCCTAAAAAATCTTACCATTCGTCGAGTGGTCCTTGTACCTCCACAGCCCGCCAATATCCTCGGACGCCTCGAAGCACGTGACGTCGAAGCCGTAGATCTTCGCCCAACTTAAGAAGCTTAATTTTCTTGGAATTTGGTCATAAAAAATGTACATATAAATAGCTGTGCAAAAATTGCTTTGAAAAAATCACAGAGCAATATTTTCTGAATATTTGAGCTTCTCTTAATCTGTCCAGAAAGCCAATGTTTCAAAAATCTTACGACACCATTAAACTTTTTTCGGCTTAATTCGTCTTCGATAGACCCCTTGACTTCATCAGAATTCTTAAATTCTATCCTTTGATTTAAAGGGACAGATAAGGAAATGAAAAGCTATTGGTACGGAATTGAAAAGATACGGTAGGCTATGAAATTATCGTACTCATCTGCTCACGCCATTCTGCCAAACAAAAAATTTTCGGCTACCAAGACTTTTGAAACTTTGCTTCTTCCGCTAATTCATCAGAATATTTTCTTCTACTTTTCCTTCTTATTACTATTATTTCTTTTAGGTTTCCTAAACCGTTAATGCGCAATTCGAGAGGAATTACATTCAAACAATTTTTATCCAAAAAACCTACTGAATGCAGGGCAGTCCGGAACCTCCGGCTCCCACGACGCATACCTTCATCTGGCGCTCCATCGCTGAAATGGTGGTTTTATATAGTGAAATTCTGCTAAAAAAGCCTTCAAAAATTTTCGGAAACATTGGATGTTTCAAAATTACACTTTAAAAAAATGTAATTCGGAAACATAAAAAACTTTGGAAAGTGAAAACTGCTGAAAATTTGACGCCTACCAAAGTTCAAAAATGAACATTTGTTCCGAAAAATCATGTTTCTAAAAATGGCTGCTTCCGCAAAAAGTTATCGGTTCCAGTCGGCTCTTTTCTTTTGGGGACTTTGAACTAATTCTTTGAATGTTAACGTTAAAAGGTTCAAAAAATTTCTGAAATTTGGGCTAACAAAAATTTGACAAGTTCAAAAGTTTAACGCCTTAACGATCATGTTCTTGGCCAAAATCATCATGTTTCAAAAAATGGGAGTATCCGGGAAAAAGTCGATTGTTTCAGTGCGCACTCTCTTCAAGGAGAATTCTAATTAATTAATCAATTTAAATTAAGAATTAAAATTCTTTGAATTTTAACGTTAAAACCCAAAAATGGATATAATTCTGAAACTGAAACAAAAATTTAACAAGTTTAAAAGCAGTACTCAACGTCTACGATAATTCACGACAAACCTTTTCAAAAAAATCATGTTTCTAAAAATGGCTGCTTACGCAAAAAGTGATCTGATTCAGTAGACCCATTCTCGACCTTTGTATAATTGGTAAGAAAGGAGCAAGGATGCTTCTTGTTTGATTGTTACAGCCGAGCTGATTCCCGGAAAAAAGAAACAGCTAGAAACATCGATTTTTAAAGTCCAAAATCCACCCTGGGTTCTGGGATCGCTAGGTTTGACAGGTTCAGAACTCTGGGCCACCTATTAAGAGGCATTTAACTATCAAAAAATTGGCTAAAAAAGGGTGCGAGAAGCCGCGATGCCGAAAAATCCTGGACACGCGGATTGATAAGAGACAAAAGCACAGTGGAGCTGAAAAAATTTGCAGCTGTCAAAGATTCGTGTGTTTCGGAGATCTGGAAAAATCGGCAAATCTTTAGCACCGGAATCAAGAGCCGGTATAGGTCGTTTCCCCAACAATCTCTGCCAGCCTGCCCCTCTACTCTTCCTCAACAATCTCTGCTAGCCTGCCCTCTCCTCTTCCTCAACAATCTCTGTTAGCCTGCCCTCTCCTCTTCCTCAACAATCTCTGTTAGCCTGCCCTCTCCTCTTCCTCAACAATCTCTGCTAGCCTGCCCTCTCCTCTTCCTCAACAATCTCTGCCAGCCTGCCCCTCTACTCTTCCTCAACAATCTCTGCTAGCCTGCCCTCTCCTCTTCCTCAACAATCTCTGCTAGCCTGCCCTCTCCTCTTCCTCAACAATCTCTGCTAGCCTGCCCTCTCCTCTTCCTCAACAATCTCTGCCAGCCTGCCCCCCTACTCTTCCTCAACAATCTCTGCTAGCCTGCCCTCTCCTCTTCCTCAACAATCTCTGCTAGCCTGCCCTCTCCTCTTCCTCAACAATCTCTGCTAGCTTGCCCTCTCCTCTTCCTCAACAATCTCTACTAGCTTGCCCTCTCCTCTTCCTCAACAATCTCTGCTAGCTTGCCCTCTCCTCTTCCTCAACAATCTCTACTGGCTTGCCCTCTCCTCTTCCTCAACAATCTCTGCTAGCTTGCCCTCTCCTCTTCCTCAACAATCTCCACTAGCTTGCCCTCTCCTCTTCCTCAACAATCTCTGCTAGCTTGCCCTCTCCTCTTCCTCAACAATCTCCACTAGCTTGCCCTCTCCTCTTCCTCAACAATCTCTGCTAGCTTGCCGTCTCCTCTTCCTCAACAATCTCTGCTAGCTTGCCCTCTCCTCTTCCTCAACAATCTCCACTAGCTTGCCCTCTCCTCTTCCTCAACAATCTCTGCTAGCTTGCCCTCTCCTCTTCCTCAACAATCTCTACTAGCTTGCCCTCTCCTCTTCCTCAACAATCTCTGCTAGCCTGCCCTGGATAAGAATAGTTAAGAAAATATTCTTAATCTATTTTAAAAGAAAATAAAAGACGCGAAATCTAGAAGAAAATACAAAAATGCCCTGACTCCCTACCTTTTATCCAGCCTCCTCTCTTTTCAGGGCCCTATAATTAGCAAATTTCGCAGAGAATGAGAGAGAGAGAGAGAGAGAGAGAGAGAGAGAGAGAGAGAAAATTAGAGAAAGAGAGCCAAAGGGGCGGGGCCTGCCTAGTATGCGGTAGGTGATCCGTGCTGATGGAAATGACAAGAAGGGCCCCAGCAAAAAAATCGGCTGTGAAATTGATGCGAATGATTGACGGGGCGGGGGTTGTCAATTTTTTCGAACCGTTCTCGGTTCAGCCCGATCACTCAGAATTCCGGCAGGGCACAAAATAGAACGAATCCACGTGTGTTTTGGTAGGTCGGTAGAATCGGAGTAGGCCTGGGGTCTTGACCTAGGCCTAGGCTTAGGCTTAGGCTTGGCTTAGACCTAGGACTTAGGGCTTAGGGGTGGGCTTAGGTCCTGGCTTAGCTTAGGCTTAGGCTTAGGTTTGGCTTAGGCTTAGTTAGGCTAGGCCCAGGCTTAGCTTTAGGCTAACTTGAGGCTTAGGCTTAGGCTTGGGCTTAGGTTTAGATTAGGCGTAGGCTTAGGCTTATGATTTGACCTAGACCCAGGCTTTGGTTGGGCTTATACTTATGTTAGGTTTATACCGAGGCTTAGGCTTAGGCTTGGCCTTAGGCTTACTCTTACGCTTAGTCTTAGGCTTGGGCTTAGGCTTGGCTTAGGCTTGGTTTAGGCTTGGCTTAGGCTTGGCTTAGGCTTGGGCTTAGCTAAGGCTTAGAGTCGAGAATTCCTCAAATTGCCTCCGCTAGCCTGCCTTCAATGATCACAGATCCTCAGCTTCGTTGGTGCGAAAGTTAAAAGCGGCTGGGAGACAATTTACGATGAGTGTGTTGCGAATGGCGGGGTGTGACAATGTTGATGAGTATCCTGTCGTAGCCGGGGCTGAGCCGCCAAAAGCTTTGTAAACAGAGAAAAAGCGGTGTTCTTGGTGGGAGCGCGAGTGTTCGCGCGACCGCTGTTAAGACACAAAATACGCGCGCATGTTCTATGTTTTAACAAGCGCTGTAGTTTTTAGGGGATACTACAAGTCTGGAAAAGCGGCGTTTTAAAGGAACTGGCAGGTGAAAGGATATTTTAAAGAGCTCCAAAAGCGAAAAAATCTATTTTTAAACGAATGTCAAGCTGAAAAATTAGCTTTAAAGGCACATGCAAGCGAAAAAGACGCGGTTATCAAGACATGGCAAGCTAAGAAATTGTTCGAAAGAGGCTGGACAGGGATTAAAAATCGTTTTAATGGTATTGAAAAGCGGAAAAATGAGCTTCAAGGGCGTCGGCAAGGAAAAAGACGCGTTTTAAAAGGACTTGCAAGCGATAGTGTATTATAAAGACCGCGAAAAGCGGTACACATAGGATAACGGGGGGGGGAATAAAATAACGGGGGGGCACTCATTATTATGAAATTTGCAATTACTGAGGGATTTTGCGAGTGCCATTCGATAGAGCGTCGAAAAATATACTAAGAGAATTAATTTGAGCCCAAAATAATGTAATGGAAATTTTTTATTGAATAAACAAAAATTGAGGAAAATCTATGGGCAGCACATAGGATAACGGGGGGGGAAAGTCAAATTTTCGAATTTTTCGAATTTTTCGGTATTTTGAAAACGTCATTCGATAAAGCGTCGAAAACTGCCCTAGGAGAATTGATTTCAGCCCGAAATAATGTAAATTAAATTTTTTATCGAATAAACAAAATTGATCAAAATCCATGGGCAGCACATAGGATAACGGGGGAAAGCCAAATTTTGCGATTTTCGATATTTTGAAAACGCGAATCGATAGAACATCAAAAAATATACTAAGAGATTTTTTTACAACGCGAAAAAATGTATTATAAAAGTTTTATAGCCTAAAAACTATTTTTGAAAACTATGGGCAGCACATAGGATAACAGGGGGGGGGAAAAATTTTCGGCGTTTTGAATATTTTCGATATTTTGAAAATGCCATTCGATAGAGGACCGAAAAATATACTAAGAGTTTTTTTTACAGCCCGAAAAAAGCATATTTAAAAATACTTTTATCATATAAAAAGTTTGAGTGCCCCCCCGTTATTTTTTTCCCCCCCCGCTATCCTATGTGTTGCAAGCGATAGTGTATTATAAAGACCGCGAAAAGCCACAAAACATCTTTTTAAAGAGACTTACAACTGACAGAGTCCAAAAACTACAAAAACAACGTTTTAAAGGCATTGGCAAGCGAATAAAACGTTCTGAAGAGGCGGGAGAATTCAAAATCAGCGTTTTAGAGGGACTGGAATGCGATAGCATATTTTAAGAGGCGGAAAAGTTACGTTAAAACGACCGGAAGCTGGTAAATTGCATTTTAAAGGGAAAGAAGTCAAAATGTTGGCTTTAGTGGCAATGGCTCAAAATGAAAAGTCCGATTTAAGCGGATAGGGGAAGCCTTGAAACTGAAACCATGAACCTTCAAAAAAACCTTGAAAAAATCTAAGTTCTTTTGTGCAAATTGCTTCAACGAAAAACGTAGGTTGGCGACGAATGCCTGAATTAATAAATAAATGTGTTGTTAGTGATAACTGTGCATACGCTTAATTCAAAAGCGGTAGCACCACAAAAATAACGATTTATAAATGTAGGTATTTTAAGAGACCATCAAAGTTTAGTGACCATCGGGGCTCATTTTCCAGAAACTGGACCCTCCAGCTTCCGAAAGGCCGCAAAAAAACGGGTTCAGTGAGGAGGTGATAAGCTGCCCGTGAAGCGTTCGTTTCGATAGCCCTTCCTGGATCTAAAAAATTTTCTATTTACCGCCGGCTCAAATGGCAGAGATCAATTTCCGTATGAGTTTCCACCAGAAATGTTTTAAAGGGACTGGCAGGTTTGGAAAATCCTAAAAATCGGTGCTAGCCTGCCCTCTCCTCTTCCTCAACAATCTCTGCTAGCCTGCCGTCTCCC